AGCCACAAAAATCATCCTAAACCAACCACTGTGAGCCCGTTGAAATGTTAATACCTGTGATATACTTTAATAGTGATAATTGCAACCACTGCAGACATTTGTGCTGGTTGAGTCACTCATAATCTCTCAAGGGTGCCCACTGTGTTAGCCAGTTTAGATGAAGAAAACAGAACACTGTTCTCAAGTCTGCTTTTCTAAATCACATGGAGATCTACGATGTCTTTTCTGCCCCACTTCTCTTGAGCACTTTTAATGAACATTTAAGAAAGAAGACCTACTTAAACTGGAGCCAGTTTGTCCATCGAAATTCCAGGAGATTCTTAAGAACAACATAAATGCTCGTAGGTAGTGATTTTATAAATTCTCCACAGTAGACCACGTTTCTCCTAGGTAGCTAGTTTTCTGATGATAATAAAATTTAATTTGGCCCTAATTGGAATTTTTGGTCATTTAGAAAAAATAGTATTCCTTTGGGTTAGCTATGGAAAAAATATTTGTTATCCCGAGAATAATGTAAACCAAAATGTACTTAAAGTGCTTAGCTAGGAGAACACACTGTTCCCAGGCACTCCAGAAACGCCAGTTTAAAAATTCAATGAGCTGGTAACATGAGAGGAGGCCTGCAGATCTGCTGAGCTCAATAGAACTCTTTCCTTGACTAAAGCTTTCTGGAGCCTTCTCCACCTGACTGTATCCAAACCTCACTAAACGATATGTTTTTAAAGAAACAGCTTGTAAATCTCTTTTTAGTCACAGGAACTCCCAGCCTTCTCCACAATCACCCTGCCCTGGTGCGGTCCTGCTGAACTGTTTTCTCTTGATTTGATGTTATAATCTTTGGGTGGTATTCAGACATCAAGTATGTAAAACATAAGCTTCAGTCTCAAAACAAAGTAAATGTCCCATTTTGCCAACAATATCATTATATGGGGGAATATTCTCAATGTATTATTATGTGGAAAAAAGTTGTCAACCAAAGATATTACCATATCACTAACTTTGACAAATAACATATGTTGAATTATGTGTTTGTGATAGGACAAGAGCTGACTTTTTTCTTTCATTGGGCCTTTCTGTATTTTTATAAGTTTTCACCCCTGAGCATATATTATCAAGAAACATGATAATACTTTTTAGTACAGGCGATGCAGGCTGTGGTTAGTTTCCACAGAGACTTTTTCTCATGCCCATTGACGTGTACTTTCTCGAGATGAGACAGCCCCCCTCCACTGTGTCCATCTCTGGACAGAGGTCCCACCATGTTCTACGCATGTACAAAAGGCAACTGAGGCAAAACAAGTGACTTCTCCTCAAGTAGAATCACAGATGTGGCAGGAGAATATGCCTAGCACCAAACCTTCTTCTGGGTTTATTGAGTGAAAAGGTTTGCTTGGTTTTTGTGCAGGTGAAGCTACCAATTGAAAAACTGGACATCCCCTTTTTCAACCAATTGATCTCAGCCCCTAAACAACTGTTAACTTAAGATACCAAAGTTCTTTGGTTTCCTTAAACTAATGGGGTGGGGGTGCCCTTAAAGAGCACATCATCCACGTGTGAGTGGTGGTGACAGGACCAAGAAATATGGTTGGGACAATGAGTGGTGTCAGCCCTATCTGAACCACACAATAAGAGGTTCTAACAGAGAGAGATTCTGTGATCTGAGGAAATGGGGAAGGGTGTTGGGCAAGCAAAAATAGATAACCTTTAGAGTAAAACAGAAATGATTTTTGCATATACTAATTACAAAAATTTTATTGAAATCCTATCATGATACTAAGCCAAAGAGGTTGAATTTACTCCATAGCGTACTGCAGTAACCACAGTAGAGGTCAGTGGGCTGATCTGTTCTAGGACATTCTCTGTTCCACCCTACACTAAGGTTTCTACAGGATATTGATGTTTTTCTTTGTAGCCCTGAAGCTGCTACAGGGGCAGGTATGGGTTACAAATGGAGAACAAATAAAACTGCGAAAATATGATTTTAATGACCCTTAAATTTTTTCATAATATTATGCTGGCCAAGAGCCCAGTAAAAAAAGATATTTTTTTCAGACCCTCCTCAAATGTCATTTAAATCTTATTAGGTAGATCTTTGTGAAATGACGACACCGGCGATAAAGACTCCTTTTCCATTCTCCAGCCATTTTGGCCACAGCAAGGGTAACATGCCCTGGGAAAACATTAGCATTTGGCTGATAGGTTTCAATAGGGGCTGTGCAGAATCAGAATTGGGAGGCATTTTTCTTCTCCAACTCAACTGGATGGGAAAAGTCAAAATTGACAGTGGTTAATTATGCCAGATTATTTTGTTTGTTTGCTTGGTCACTTGGTGGTAAACAAGAGTTTGTTTTGCCCTTGAATTGAGTTATCGAGGTGTTAGGCCTACAGCTAGATCAGGGGGTATGTGTTTGGGAGACGTTTCCGAAATAGGATAGCTCACAAGAGGGGTGTGAGGAGCAATTGTGAGGAGCGAGGGTGATGGCCGGGCTGTGTCTCCTCTTTTCTCATTTACTAATTGCAGTTTTTGTTGTCCTCTGACTCTGAGACTGAAGAGTGAATTGCCTACCCATTAAAAATAGCTAGTTCGAGGGCTTGATTTAGCTGGGTTCTGGTTAAGATTTGATTATTCATGTTTATGTATGGGTAGGATTTTAGTTCATTATCTATGTTGCTCTTATTAAAAAAATAAAATGATCTAGAGAGACTTTAAATGAAATCGCTCAGGCTAGCCTGAGCCCTATTCCACTGCCCAACCCAAGTCTTTGGTTCCCAAAAGTTTTTCTATAGGGACCCCTGTATCCCATCCTTCCCCTAGCTCATTGTCCTTCCTCCTCCAGTGTCTGACCCATCTCCCAACTCCCGCCCCCAGGCTGGTGGAGTCTACACATTTTTACAAGCTCACTTCCCACCACTCTCCTTTGAGCTTCCTATGCTACAGGGCCCCAGCCTTCCAGGTCTCCTCCATTTATTGTTCATTGTCTGTCTCTCTGGGACTCTCCTGCTTATTTCCATAGCAGCACAAGGAATTATAAAATAGGAAAAAGCATACTATTCATGTAGTTCAAATGGAGAATTCAGAATTCCGTGCTTCTCTAAGACCTGCTGCCTCATAACTAAGTAGAGCACAGCTAGAAAGTAGACATCACCTTATTACTAACCACTGTATGATGTTGAACTAGGAAGCAAATCCGAACCTTGAAAATTCAGAAGGCAACAGCTTATCTGTGACTCATTAATAACTCACCACATTTTCTACATGTTACAGTCAAAATATACATTTCCTACTGTCCCCGAAATACTTGAGTGATTTTGCAAGCGAAAGACTTCACATACAGACTCTCAAATGAGTACTAAATAGAATTTTTGAGTCATGCAGTCATTGCCCTTCATGTCTCCTGAAGGGAAGATAGCCAGTTCAGTACAATCCAGCCGAAGGTCTTGCACTGTGCGTGTGGATCTCAGAGACGCCCCTCCTGATAGAGATGGTTTCCAACGCTTTTATTTTCAACTTGTGGCCCTGGGTATTTCTTAGTGATGCATACATGGAAGGAATGAATACATATTAGGTCTGTGCTGGTAATAATTATGTCAGAGAAAAAGCTCAAGATTTAGACATTGTCAACCCCTAGAATGGCAGCGGGTTAGAGGATGCCCGTAGAAGCAGGCACTCTGGGACAGGAGCCGCTGCAGGCTGTGTTGCCCTGAATTCAGGGACAGATCTTAGCCCATGTTTAACCAGCTCAGTGGGATGGGGATGGACGTTTTTGCTCTTTCCTTTGGGGCCTGTGCAAGGTCTGGTCTGTGGTCTGTTTTCCTAACATATACCAGATAGCTCTGTCACATTAAACATTATGCTGCGCAGACACTGCACTTTCAAAGATGGACAGGCTCAGACCCACAGCTGATGTTAGTGTAGATTGTGTTCATGCAGTGGTATCCAAAACGACCTGTGCTGTCCGGGTTTGATGGCGGGGAAAAACGAACGTCAGAGTAAGTGGAAATGCAATGGCCTGATAGGGCTCCGTCCCAACAGCGGAGGAAGGGGCCTGTTCTAATTAGGTGGCTTCATTTCTTTTGGAAAACTGGACTTTTGACAGATGAACTTCTTTTCCCTTGCCTTCATATTTATCTAACAGAGTTGTGGTTGGGAAATAGTCCAGGATTCACAAGGTCAAAAAGTGACCCGGTTCACATACTGGAGCCTTCTCTCATCTCCCCTCACAGCTTCTCCAGGCAGGTGGTCCCGTGTGCCGTGGGTGTGTCCACACCAAAAATGGTCACCCAGAGGACACATCAACCGTCTGGGCTTGGCCCTCAGAAGTTCTAGCAGCCCCATCAGATGCGTGTCTCAGTTTTAGATAAGCAGCTTTATTTTCCAGGGTGCACTCTGCAACTTGAAGTCATTCTAATGCGCTTGATGAATGATCGTCTTGTTATAAGGCATTGGGAATTAAAGCCATTCATAAGATTAAAGAAATAAGAATACACTGGATTTTTGTAATAGATGTCTTCATGAGAAAACCCATTTTCCTAGACTACCCACTTGTATTCTTTCTTTCATTACCCCAAGGGCAAAAGAATAAAGGAATGTTAAATATTTTTAGCCTTATCTTTGAAAGTTAAAAAACAATTATTTAAAACAAGGATCAGAGGAAACTATTTCCTCCTTCTCCCTCATCCCCTTGTTCCCTGGTATATAAATAAAGATGTTTTTCCCTGCCTGAAACTCAACCTTTGTGTTCTGTAGGCTGTGGTTTTGTTATCATCCAAGTACTTATGGATCGACATTGGAGATAATCTTAGACATATAACAAGTACCTTTGTGACACCTGCTCCTTTTACACACATTTCTGGGTAGGCCCACTTCTACAGAAATCCCTGAGAACAATTTTGCCTTGTAATAACTTGCACAATGCTCACCAGTTTCTCCTCGATTAAGAAGATGGAGTGTTAGTGTGTGGCCTTTGGACTCACATGTTTGCCTTTCTTGTATTTTTCAGAAATTGAAGCGAAGGAAGCATGCGACTGGCTCCGTGCTGCCGGGTTCCCGCAATACGCTCAGTTATATGAGGGTAGGTTGGCCTTCCCTTCACTCTTTATAAAGAGAACAAATTCAGAATGAAGCATGTTTGTCCTGTGGTGTGTTTTAACTTCCAAGTCTTTTCTTAATCTTTTTTTTTTTCTTCTGTCTCTTCCCCTCGGCTTTGCAATGACCAGTGCTTATACTGATGCCAGTTGAGAAATGGGTATCACTCCCCAAGCCTATTTTACTTTGTGCTCCAAACTTCCTGCTTCTCGTGTCTTCACCACCAGTCCCATCCAACTATCATTTCCTGCCATGTTCTGTCATCACCAGCTTTTCTACACTTTCTTCCTTATTCTTTTTCTTGTTTTCTCTTCATTCCTCTCGGTTTTCTTGAAAGTACCATAAACTAGTGGTTGATAAATTTCCTAGAATCCTAAAGCTAATTGTCTTGAGACCTTTCTTCAGTTCTGATTACTTTACATTAAAAATTTTAAAAATATAATATAGATCAGAAGTTATTTAGGGGGACTTTAAAAGCCAGTGGGCATACTTTCTTTCATTGATGTTTTAATTGGCAGTTAACAAAATTACTCACCTACATCTTACTTATACCTTAAATTATAGTCCAGGCTTCTAACTACTTCTCGGATAGTCCATAGGTAGAGTGAATTAGTCAGGATCCCAACAGTAAGCAGACAACACACTCAAGATAATCTGAGGATTTATTTCTGAAAGTGTCCATTGCAAAGATGTGGGCAGGCTATAAGAAACGGCATCACCTTCTCTTCTTGATGGCATAAAATTTATGTAGAATGGACAGAATCAACAAAATGAATCTGTACTCATTAGTATATCTTGTTCACCCAACTAGAAGCTTGGTTTTATAGTTTAAAAAAATGTTCTATTTATCTCACTTAAGTTGTGTGAGGATAAAGGAGAACATATCCCTGAATGCTTTGAAGTCTAGAACCTCTGATGAAAATCTTCATAGATCGTAGCCTTTTAGAAAAGGTGAGGTCTTATAATATTGGTCAAAGCAACCCTCACTCCTAACTCCCACCACCAATTTACTGATTATGAAAGAGAGGCCCAAAAAGGTTAAGTGACTTTTCCAAGGTAAAAAGTTAGAGGAGTCAGAATGAAAATCAATCTCTTGAGCCTTGATACAGTATTTTCTATTCTAATGTATGCTCTCTAGGTAAACTCGAAATGCTATGTGATTTAAACTTGAAGTATCTGTAAATGGCTAAGAAGTAAAGATACCTCATAAGAAAAGGGTGTGTAAGCCATATTCATTGAGTTAATAAAATAATAAGAAGAGCACATATTACACAGAGCTTAAAATGTGCCTGGTATTGTTCAGAGCACTTTGTATAACTATTCATTTAATATTCGCAACACTATAGGGTGAGTATTTTAATTTTCATCACCCCCATTTTACAGATGAGGAAACAGAGGCCCAGAAGAGGTTAAGTGCCTTGCCCCACTTCTCCAGCTAGAGAGTAGGGGAGCCAGCGCCAACAGGCTGGGCAGCTGGGCCGGGCTTCCGACTCTGTGTCCCTCAGCCCCGCACACTCCCTCCCTGGCAGGATGAGACAGGCCTCATTCTGGCACTCCCTGAATTTACTCTCATTTCTCTTTTCACTAGAAGAGGAATTGTTTCTGTTTTCAACTCACGTTAAGATTTAGATACCCTTAGATTTATTATGACTGGCAAGGTGGAAACAGTGCAAACTGGAAAATGAGAAAAAGAAGGAATGGTGGGATAATGATCATGAGCTGACATTGTCTGTGAGGTTTGACCATGGCCTCTATTAGAATGACCTCCAGATTCTTACCTCCTCGAATGAGGTACCTAAAATTAATACCCTGCCTTGAGTCTTGCCCTTGACTTCCAAAGCTGGCACGAATAGCCTATGGAAAAAAGTCACGATGGTGGAATTTCTTCTCCTCTTTGGACAGTATCAGTTGTTTCAGTATTTTCCTCATACTCTAAAATGATTCAAGATTTTGCTACAAAAGAAAATATTTGAGGTCATTGAGCTTCAGATATTTTTGGAAATTCGCTCTCTGAAGGAAAAAAACAATCTGCCAAACTGAATAGTCCATGAACTCGTCGGGATAGAGCTAGAGACCTATGCCTTAGGTGAATGGTGAGAGAGTCAAGGCTCTTCTCCATGCAGGCAAATGTCTTGACAATGACGAGCTATAAAAATGCAGGCACTTAGTATTATTAATTCTTACCCAACGTCAAGCACTTGGTTATCATATTTCACATTTCTTTTGTACCTTAAAAGACAGTATTGCGATAAAAATAAAACTGCCTGCTCTATCACACATTACCAACACACTCCCCATCAGTGGGGAGTAACTGCTGTTAAGATCAGTCATGTGTACAGAAATGTAGTAGCCTGAAGATAGGAGTGTCCATTCAGATAAAACCAGGCCCATAAATCCCTTTTTCTCTCCATCTCTCTTTCAGATTCCCAATTTCCCATCAACATTTTGGCTGTCAAGAATGATCATGATTTTCTTGAAAAGGACCTTGTAGAACCTCTTTACAGGTAAATCATGTGAAGTATTTCTGTTCTTTTAATTGTTCAGTTTCCAGTAGGTATCACTACATTACTACAACAGGTGAGTTCAACAATTCATTAAGTATTTATTGAGTGCCTACTGTGTGCCAGGCATGGGTCTAGTTTCTAACTGTACTATGATGAGTGTGATCAGTCCCTGGTTTCATGGAGCTTAAATCTTAGTAGGAGGCTTCAGAAGATAGATTGGGAAAAAGAGAGAGAGAGTGAGTAAGAGAAAAAGAAAGGGAGAAAGAAATGTTATCTCACAGAGTGTTCAATGCTACGAAAAGAGTAAAACAAGATGAGGCTAGAGACAGTGATTGGGGCTGTGGGTGGGCTAGTGGGAGGAGGTAGCATGAGCAGTCAGGGAAGTACCTTAAAATCTCCATGAGTATGTTGAACTTGGCTGTATTTTTTGCAAAGTCAAGTGATTATATCAGAAAATTGGAATATGTAAGCTCAAGTAATTGTATTGGCCACCTGGAATATTGAAGCCTTTGCTTTGTGATAGATGATATAAGACCAAGATGTACTCATGAGTAATTCCCTCCTGTCAAAGAATTTGTAATCTCTTTGGAGAAATCTAGTTGAAGAAATAGAGCATGAATACATGCACAAATAAGTAACAACTATAATTTGGGTAACAGTGAAAGATGCCAATATAATCAATATTCCTGAACAAGTAAATGCCGCCTGAGGGGTTGCATGCGTCTGTAGAAATGTGAAGTTTCCTATCAAAAGCCCTGGAGAGAGGTCAGGGCTGAAAATAAATATTAGTTACAGGAGGTGAGTCACATTTCCAAGACCACACAGCTAGTTATGGGCTCAACTGACCTTCCTATGCAGTACTTATAACTTGCAATCCAGTGTTCTTTTTAGCATATTCTGCATTTGACATAGAAAAATTGTAGTTTAATAAAATACTGAGGAGCAAAACTTTGTCAAGATAGGAGAGACAATTCTATGTTAGGATAGTGTGTAAATAATCTTGGGCTTGCTGAAGCTTCAGACGTGTACTTTTGTATTCACAAGCTGGTCACTCTGGTTCCTGTATGAAAATAGATTGGCATTAAGACATGACCTCTGAATGTTCAAGGCAAACAATCCTATGGGTTTGCATATGTGGGTAGAAGAGCTAAGAATTCTTCTAGTCATAAATTAAAGGAACGGACTATTTGGACTAAAAAACAAACAAGCACAAAATGCCATTTGTGAACATTTATGAGAGGAAGGGATGGTTTGGTTGTGATTCTTTAAAGGTAATGAACTGGAAAAGCAGTGTTTTCTCTTCAGGATTTCTGAGGCACACCCCAGGCATGAGCAGCAGCCTCCTCATAAGCTTTCATCCAACTCAGAGAACTATTCAAACACACACCTCATCCTGAGTTTTCCCTCCTCACTTTTACCAAGAGTATTTTTACTAGTTGACTTTTTAAAAATAAATAATTTGTATATTTAATTGCATTATATTATGCTATCTTTTTTCTCCCAATTGAATTTTTTTTTAATTATAGCTTTTTTTTTTTTTTAAGATTTTTTTATTGGGGAATTGGGGGGATGGGAACAGTGCTGGGGAATTGGGGAAAGGGGAACAGACAAGTTGCTGTCGTTTTGTTCTTCAGTCTAGTTGTGGAGGATGTTGCTTCACTGGCCCAAGTTGGCACCATCATTGCGCTCTTCTCTGGCGAGGCAGATCAGTCGCCGGCTTCTGGACGGCCGCTCATAGCGGCTGCTGGCCGCTCACGCTGGCTGCTGGCTACACACGGTAGCCCATGGCAACCCACTACCACAGGGGCTGCAGCCTACGCCATCACCGGCGACTCAGGCAGCCCAGCTCCAGGTTGAGCTGTTGTTCAGCATCTTAGCTGTGGAGGGCAGTGTTACTGGCCCTCATATGTGGGATCCGAACTGGGGCCCAAGCGAGTTCTTAACCATCGCGCCACTCGGCCGGCCCCCAATTGAATTTTTTTTAATTTATGTTTTCTTTGAATCAAAGTGTCATATATACATATGACATCTCATTATTTTAATTTGTAATTCCCAAATGGTATGTGATGTTGAGCATCTTTTCATATGCCTACTTACCATTTGTATATTTTCTTTGGTGAGGTGTCTGTTCAAAACTTTTTCCCATTTTTAACTGGGTTGTTTATTTTCTTATTGTTGAATTTTAAGAGTTTTTTGTATATTTGAGTAAAAGTCTTTTATCAGACATGTCTTTTGCAAATATTTTCTGTGGCTTGTCTTTTCATTCTCCTAATAGTGTCTGTCAAAGACCAGCAGTTTTGAATTTGAATGAAGTCCAGCTTAAAAATTATTTCTTTCATGGATTGTGACATTGGTGTTGTGTCTAAAACCATCACCAAACACATGTCATAGATTTGTTTCTATATTATCTTCCAGAAGGATAGATAGATATAGATATAAATATAGATATTAAATATATATAAAGTAAAATTTACTATTTTATATATGTTATATAAAAAGTATAATTTACTATTTTCAGTGTACAGTTTTTTGAGTTCTGACAAATGCCTGCAGTGAGTAACCACCACTACAACCAAGAACAGGTCCATCACCCCCCCAAAATTACATGGTTCCCTTTTCCCATCCACCTCTACCCCTACTCCCAACCACTGGCAACTACTGATCTGGTTTTTGTACCTGTAGTTTTGCCTTTTCCAGAATGCCATATAAATGAAATCAAACATGTAGCCTTTTGAGCCTGGCTTCTTTCATCTGTGTCATTGTGTGTATCAGTCAATGTGATTGCTGAGTGGTATCCCACTGTACGAATATAGTGCAGTTTGTTTATTCATTGGTTGAAGGGCATTTGAGTTGTAGCCAGTTGGGTGGTTATAAGGCATTCATATTCATGTTTTTGTGTGAGCATAAGTTCCTTTGGGTAAAATCCTAAGAACGGGATTGTGGAAACCATCTAATAAGTGTATTATAACTTTATAAAAATATCACAGACTTTTCCAAAGTGACCATACCATTTTGTATTTCCATCAACAATGTATGATAGAGTTTTAGTTGCTCCACATCTTTGTCAGCGCTTGGTATTGCTGGGTTGTTTTGTTTTTAGCCAATCTAATAAGTGTCTAGTGTTATCTCATTGTGTTTTTAATTTGCATTTCCTTAGTGAATAATGATGTTGAACATCTTTTCATGGGCTTAATTTTCATCCATATCTCTTCTTTGGTTAAGTGTGAGTCAAGTCTTTTGCTCATTTTTTATATTTGGTTGTTTGCGTTTTGGGAGTTCTTTGCATGTTCTAGATGTAAATTATTTGTCAGGTATGTGTTTTGTGAATATTTTCTGCCAGTCTGTAGCTTGTCTTTCATTCTCTTAACAGTATCTTTCACAGAACTGAAGTTTTTAATTTTACTAATGTTCAATTTATCAAATTGTTTTTCGTATTTTTAATGTCATATCTAAGAAATCTTTGCCTAACATTTCCTCACAACTATTTCCTTCTGTTTTCTTCTAGAACTTTCAGTTATATATTTAAGGCAAAGGTCCATTTCATTTAAGTCAATGGTTAATTTTTTTACAAGGTCCAAAGTATGGGTAAAGATTCATTTTTTGCATATCAATGTCGTGTTGGTTGAGCACCATGTTGAAAAGTTCATACTGCCTTCACTGAATTTCCTTTACACCTGTGTTATAAATCAGTTGACCATAGATGTATGAGTCTATTTCTAGACTCTGTATTCTGTTCCATTTGTCTTTGTGTCTATCCTTTCATCAGTAGGACACTTGGTTACATAACTTTTTGTCTGTCTTAGAATCCAATGGTGTGAGTCCTCCAACTTTGTTCTTCTTTGTCAAGATTGTTTTAGCTAGTCTAGTTGCTCTGCCTTTTCATATAAATTTTGGAAACAGCTTGTCAATATCTATTTTTAAAGTTCTATTGGATTATTGATTTGGATTGTTTTGAATCTATAGATAAGTTGGGGGAGAACTGGAATCTTAACATTAAGTCTTCAGATTCATAAGCACAGTAAATATCTATTTAGGTCTCCTTTGATTTTTTTTTCAACCCTGACTTATAGTTTTTGACATATGGATACTACACATACTTGAAAGTCTGAAGAATTTCATGTTTTGTATTATAAATAGCACTGTCTTTTATCATTTCAATTTCCAGTTTTTCATTGCTAGTACAAAATTTATTTTGTATATTGTCCTTGTATCCTGCAGTCTTTCTAATCTCACTCCTTAGTTCTAGTAGCTTAGTCATAGATTCCTAAAATTTTATTTCTAAATTATAAATCAATGATTACATTGTAAACCAAGAATAAAAATTCTATTTCATATTTTAAAATCAGGACTGCAGGACAAACATTGTCTGTGATTGTGTAGATCTATTCAGAGGATGACGTATGTGGTCGAGTGGGCCAAGCTTTGAATATCAAACATGTGAGTGGCAAATCCTTATCTACACATTGCTGCATGTGATTTGAGATGCTGTGACTAAGTTCTGGGCTTTTGCATCAAAGTCTACTCTTTTAAAAAATGCCTTTCAGAGATGAACGAGTACAATTAGTGTGAAATCATTTAGAGATACAAAGCTCTGAATGATAATACCAGTGTCAGCCGGATAAGTTAGGAAGCCTTCTCGGGGAGAGCCTGTGACCCATCTCTGATGCTCCCCATAGCAGGATTCATACAGATGCACCCCAGAAGGTATTACTGCATAAACATGTGGAAATACAGCAATGCCAGACACCACAGCGCTCTTGACAAGGGCCCAGCTTGTGGGAAAACGGTTGGAGAGCAGGAGGTTGTTATAATTGGAATAATTCTCATGACAGCTATGTCTCCAAAAATATTATGAAGAAAAACATGTGGCTGGAGGTGTATGAGCTGAGATTCTCAGAGCATAGGTACAGTGGGTAAAACAAAAGCCAAAGGAGTAGTCCCAGCAATATGGATCCAAGGAAGCAGGCAGAGTAGGTAGCAGAGATGGAGATAGCTGAGCT